AAAAAAAAAAAAAAAAAAAAAAAAAAAAGAACACTACCTAACACCATATACAAAAATAAACTCAAAATGGATTAAAGACCTAAGTGTAAGACCAGAAACCATAAAACTCCTAGAAAAAAACATAAGCAGAACGTTGATATAAGTTGTAGCAATATTTTTGTTTTTGGATCTGTCTCCTAAAACAAAGAAAATAAAAGCAAAAAAAACCAAATGAGACCTAATTAAACTTAAAAGCTTTTGCACAGCAAAGGAAACTATAAACAAAACAAAAAGACAACCTACTGAATGGGAGAAAATATTTGCAAACGATATGACCAATAGGTGTTAATATCCCAAATACATAAATAGCTCACACAACTCAACATCAGAAAAACAACCCACCCAATTAAAAAATGGGCAGAAGAATTAAACAGACATTTCTCCAAAGTAGACATACAGATGGCCAACAGGCACATGAAAAGATGCTCAACGTCGCTAATCATCAGGGAAATGCAAATCAAAACCAAAATGAGTTATCACCTCACACCTGTCAGAGTGGCCGTCATATAACAAATAACAAATGCTGGACAGGGCGTGGAGAAAAGGAAACCCTCCTACACTGTTGGTGGGAATGCACACTGGTGCAGCCACTATGGAAAAACAGTATGGAGATTTCTCAAAAAAACTAAAAACAGAACTACCACGTGATCCAGCAATTCCACTTCTGGGTATATATCCAAAATATACACTAATCCGAAAAGATACGTGCACTCCAATGCTCACAGAAGATTATTTATGTTTGCCAAGACATGGAAGCAACCTAAGCGTCCACCAACAGATGAATGGATAAAAAAGATGTGGAGCGTATGGGTGCATGTGTGTGCACGTATATATATATATACCTATATATATATATATATATATATAGGTATATATATATATACGTATATATATATATACACACATAGACACACAGACACACGCACACGCACGCACGCACACGCACCCACATACGTACAATGAAGCACTATTTAGCCATAAAAGAGATGAGATTTTGCAACTGCCAATAACATGGATGGACCTGGAGGGTTTTGTGCTACGTGAGATAAATCAGACCAAGAAACACAAATACCGTGTGTTATCACTTATGTTTGTAACCGAAAAGACACAAGAAACCAGTGAATACAACAAAAAAGCAGCAGACTCACAGATACAGAGAAAAACCAGCGGTAACCAGTGGGGAGAGGGAAGTGGGGAAGGGCAGGACAGGGGAGTGAGAGGCACAAAGTACGCTGCACAAATAGGCTGCAAGGACGTACGTGCAACACGGGGAACAGAGCCAGTGTTTTGTAATAACTAGGAATGGAGTATAAACGTTAAAAAGTGTGAATCACTACATTGTGCACCTGAAACTTACACAACGCTGCACATCCACTGTATTTCAATAAAAAAATGATAAATAAATAAAAGCACAATCTAGACTTCACACACAAAAAAGAAAAAAGATATTTGAAATAAAGGCTGAAAATATTCCAAGTTTGATGAAAACTATACACCGAGAAGCCCAAGAAGTTCAACAAGTGTTAAGCAGAATAAATACAAGGAAAAGCACAGGAAGAAACACCAAAAGTAAACGGATGTAAGTCAGTTATAGAAACCATAATTTTCAAGTATCTAGAGCAACAAGCAGCACTTTTTCTCCAAATGGCTGGAGAGCAAATAGCTGAAGCTTTGCGGTCACGAACGGTCTGTAGCACGTTTTTCTTTTTTTCTTTTAAATCTTCAAAAACTGTAGAGAACATTATCAGCTTACGGGCCAATATTTGCCAATCCTTGATCTTGACCAAAAAAAGACACATTAAAAACGGAAAACAAAGATAAAAATGACTGCTGCAGGCACTTCCTCAGAAATAAAGCGAGTAAGACATCGTTTTCAGTACAGGCTAAAACGTCACCCTGTAATTCCACACCGGGAAGATGACTTTCAAAAACGAAGGAAAACAAGACACTTTTCAGAGAAAGAAAAAGCTGAGTAAATTCGCAGCCAGCAAATCTGTCCTTTAAGAAACTTCAAAGGAAAGTTTGCAGGATGAAGGAAAGTGACAGCAGATGAAAGAAATGTAGGTCTAGAGAGTGATGGAGAATACGTGCCAGACAGAGAGAAACTCTGCTTCTCTGAAAGATAATTGACTAAAGTAAAAACAAAGAATAAATAATAACCAGTGAGGCAGAAACAGCCACCGGTCACCAAAAAACAGCACATCCCCTAGCGCCCAGTCTGGCGGGCACAGGAGTGGCCCAGCGCACCCACCTGCCTCAGCTGGAAGAGCATCCGCGAGTGGTCCCCGCCCGTGATCTGGTCCAGGAGGTCATCCACCAGCTTCTTGCTGTAGCTCCCGGCATCCTTCACAAACTCCTGCAGGCTGGGAGGGGCCGCGAGAGAACAGGCTGGAAGCCGCCCTCCGTGCCCACGCCGCATCCTGGCTGCACGCCCCTCAGACACCCCCCACAGGACAGGCTCTCGCTGAGCGCTACAGCCCTCCAGGTGCAGCGGTTTGGGGAGTGGAGAACAGTCTTCATGAGAGCGGCCCGTGGCCCAGAAAAGTTAAAGGGCGAAGTGAAGAGCACGTACCCGCGCCCCAATACAGCCGCGCTGTAGCTTTCACAAAAGCAGCGCGCTCCTTGCTGCGTGTTTTAGATTTAGAAACACAGGGAGACTGAGGAGAGAGTGCTGCGGAGGGCTCCACGCTGGGGAGCGGGGAGGCAGGTACGGGAGCAAGACTCCCCACGTGCACCCTGAGTGTCATTTTGATTTCTGGACCGTGTGAATGCTTGAAAATCCAAAATAAGACTAAACAGCAAATTTGGAAAGGAGGCGGGGAACAGAACCCATAGCCCAAGCAGCAGAGCCAGGCAAAGTCCCAGAAGGGGCCCCGGACTGCAAAGGCCCTCACGTGGGGCGGGGAGGGCTGCGGGCTTGGAGGGTCTCCACCAGGAGCCTTGGGGTGGGGAGCAGGGCCGAGCAGCAGCTCTCCCGGGGGCCTGGGAGTGCCCAGGGGAAGGGGCGCTGGCACCGCGAAGTGCGCGGCCTGCTTCCTGGGCTGTTCAGGCGGCCCGGGATCCGTAGGCCTTCCAGGAGCTCGTGGAAGGTTATATATTGAGCTCATATATTGAGCTCGCCGGGGGCGAGCTCGTGCCGGCTGCACTTGCTGCCTGAACCACGGGGAGTGGTGCCCCCAGAGCTGAGCCGAGGAGAGGGCCACCGCTTGGGACACGAGCCTCCCACCTGCAGCTTCCTCCTCGCTTCTTTACCTTCACTTCTGTTTTCGCACAAAAATCAGGATTAGGTATTCATTTACTGTGCTAGGGGCTAACTGATTTCTTGTTGTGTGCTCTTCAAAGATATTCCATATTCTCTTCGGAATAAAACAAAGATCTGATATGGGAAGACTCTATTTCTCAGAGACTAGCAAAATCGTTACTTTCCCCATAGGAAACCACGAAAATTCTAAAAAAACGATCCACTTTTACATCGTCTCAGAAAACAAAAAATACGAAAACAGCCCTATAGAAGTGCAATACCCTATCACTAATTTTAACATCACATTTTAATCACAGCTGGGGCTGAACCACTTTCCCAAAACTCACACGTTGAAGCCCTGAGCCCCCGTACCTCAGAACGTGACTGTATTTTGAGATGCGGCCTTTAAAGGTGATTCAGTTAAAACCAGGTCTTGAGGGGGGGCCTAACCTTGGTGTCCCCTGAGGAACGGAGCTCAGGACACAGATGCGCAGAGGGAAGCCGGGGGAGGGTGCGGGGGACGGCTGTCTGCACGCCGGCGAGAGAGGCCGCGGGAGGAGCTGCCCTGCCCGCACCTGCACCTCGGCTCCCGGCCTCCAGTCCTGGAGGGCGTGAGTGTGTGCTGTGCGCGCCGCTTTGGTCTGGCGGCCGGAGCCGTCACGCAGCCACAAGACCCTCTTCAGGACAGCCGTGACCCCGGCTCTCCCTGACGGCGCACGGCCGTCCCACACACGGGCTCCCGTGGCTCCGGCCTGGACCGTCATCACCTCCAAATCCCGACCGAGCGAGTGACCCGAGCTTCAGGGCCGCCTGCGGGGGCCGCGGAGGTCTAACCCGGCCCCGCTGCCGTGGACGGCGCACGGCCCCCACCCCAGCCCTGCCCGCAAGGGCCGCGCCGCCGCCCACCTCAGCGCGCACTGCACACCCGTCTCGTCTCCGTAGGCCGAGTACAGCAGCTCCACCTCGTCGCACTTCAAGTCGCCGAACACCGAGTTGTTGTGCGTGGACAGGGCGGTGCTGGCGCCGGACAGGAAGGTGACTGGGGGGGCGGGGCGGCGTCAGGGCTGCGGGCACACGCGGGCCACGCCCCGCGACCCTGCGCAGCCGCCGCGCCTCGCCTCGCCTCGCCACGCCCACGCCGCGTCCTGCGAGGACGGGGAGGTCACGGAGAAGCCGCACAAGCCAGAGAGCCCAGCGTGAGCCCCACGCGTCCTCCAGCCCTTCGCGCAGGGTCCCCGCTGCAGGCAGTCTCGCGACCCCTCCAACGGATGAAGCGTGACAGCTTGTTGGAGGAAACGTAAACCGCACACGCAGGCGGCCGCCAAGTGCAGGCCGCGCCGCCCCCCCC